CAAAGGTACACGAGATAATTTTCCTAACCTACAACTAGAGCAAGGATTTAAAACTGAATTTGAACAGAAATGTGCTGATTTTTAACCAAAAAAGATAATTTTTACCGATTAGGTTGACCCAATTGACAATGCCATTCATCAAAGGAAGGTGCAGCAGTGGCAATAAAGGCTTGTTTAATGGTTGGCCGCAAAGGTATACACTCCTTCCTCACTTGGTCCTTGGTGTTTGGAAATTTACTGCGGTGTCTGGAAACCATTGAGTGGACACAGAAGTCGAATAGTTGGTTATGGTGAGGTGCAACGTTGGAATAGTTTGCCATAATGGAGTGATTATAAGAAGACCTTAGAGGTGCTATAATATGTTGAGGAAACTTTAGGGCAACTTGATCTCTTTGGTAGCATCTACGACAGGTTAAGGCAGGATAATTTTATAACCATAAATCTGACAGGGTCCTGAACAACCACGATTAAAAGTGAAATTGTTTGAGAGAAATTGATTTTGTGGTCTTGAAGAAGGTTGGGTATTTGGATGATAAGAGGTATTGGTTGCAGTAGGCAAAAGAGGGGCAGTATTTGTGGTTTTAAGAGAAAGATTTGCAATAGGGAGATAAGGGCTTTTGGAAGGAGTTCATGTGCAATCAAATGGCCATGGAGTTCATAAAACTTAACTGGTTCAGGACGAGTACTTAGAGTGGTTATGACAGAATGAAAGTCGGGACCAATAGTGCAATAGATAATCGCATTGAATTCAGCAATGGAGATAGGTCGGCCAGCAGTAGAAAGTTCATCAGCAAGGGCTTTGGCTTTTTGAAGAAATTGCAAAACGGACAGATCATTTTTTCGAAGTTCCTACAGTTCTATATGGAGCTGCAACTGTCGATTTGACTAAACCAAAGGCATTAGCCAAGGCTGTCCAAACCGCATAAGAAGAAGGCAAACTAATGAGGAGAGAAAAGACTGTAATTAGTTTGAGACTAAAGTTTAATTGTTATTTTTATATTGTAGTTGGTGATGAACGGTGAAATTAGAAGTTGAAATAAAATATAATTTCAATAATAATTTATTTTAAAACCCCCCCACCAAAGGCAACGGGTAGTTTTGATAAGCAAGGTCAAGTTGGTGTTGGGGTTGGAAAAGTTAATATTTGATGATGTGTAGAAATTTGGTGTTAACGCAAGAGGGAATCTTTTATTGTTACTGTACTTTGTAGACATTTCTTTACAGGTTCGTGTTAAATTATTGTGGATTAATTCTCTGCTTTTGTTGTTGGTGGATTTGGATTTAAGGATAAATAACTACTTAGTCCTCAAAATTTAGTTTTGTTAAATTATCTAATCCTTTTATTTAAAAGTATCATTCGAAAGGATACGTACCCGTGAGTGTATAAATGAACTGAGCCAAGTTCAAAACTCGACTTAATGAGCTTGAACATTTTAAGTTCGGATCGATACTCGAGTAAGTATAAAATAAATAAATATATATGCATATAAAAGCTCGATAAGACTCGACAAGCTTTCGAGTAAAACATCGCTTTGCTCAAGCTCGACTCATTTAGTAACGGTTAGCTCGAGTTCGGTTCGAGCCAAATTTTTTAAAATTTTTTTCGACGCGGAGTTTAAACATCTCACAAGCCGCCTCAGCTCATTTACACCATATATACCAAGTCGACTCAACTCTAGTGGTTGGGGTGCTGAAACAATTAATTTTTAATTATTAGTATTATTATTATTATTCTCTAATCTTAACTAGTAGAATAGAACTCTCCACCTCAGTATAACTCTTTAGCTATGACGCCTACGCGCTAACGAACTGCACCACCACCCCATTTGATATTATTTTTATCAATCTTATTAGAATAAAACTTTGAAATTAGCACAGCCTTTTTTTTTTTTTTTGATATTATTTTTTATCAATCTTATTAGAATAAAACTTGAAATTTAGCACAGCCTTTTTTTTTTTTTTTGAAAGAGAGCACAGCCTTTTTAAAGCTAGCCCGCTGAAGCCATTTCATTGGGAGAGCAAGAAGACAAAATTCAAGTGATAAGATTTAAACCTTTTTTTTCTTTTTTTTTTTTTTTTTTTTTTTTTATCAATCAGGTGAATTTAATTATAATTTTTTATTAAAATAAAACATATAATTTTACTCAATAAATGACATTACATGTAATTTTCATCCATTCATTTCATCTTTATTTCTTAATTTTAAAAATTTTATTCTCTTACATCCTTTCTTTTTATTTATCTGTTTTAATTTAAAATAAAAAGAAAAAGATAACACTAAAGAAATAACAACATGATAAAATCAAACATTTTTATTTTATTTTGATATTTCAAGTTATTAATCCAACAACAAATTTTACATATAGAATTATGTTAGGCAGTTATAAGTAGTTGTGAATTATTATTTAATCACTTATTTATAATGAAATAAGCTATCCTTAATCTCTATTTTTAAAAGTTAATTTTATGGTCTCTCTATCTTACCTTTGTGAAACTATTTAATCTTTTTGCTAAAATTATCATTTAGTCACTTAACTTCAATATAAATAATAGAGAAGATTAAGCAATCAATATTTAGGAAACAATTAACATGTATAGTCTAGCTGGTTTTCTCATTTTCTATAAGAAAGTGGGAATAAAAGGTCTTAGTTCATATTCTCTCGATTACAAAAGTTTTCGCTATTTTATGAATTAAAGAGAGGATCACTTCTTTAGATCTATTTGGCAAAATTAGTTATTTTGTTAGTTGTTAGCTGTTTGAGTGTCTTTTCATAAAAGCTAAAAGCTAAATATTACATGAGTTAACTTTTTATAAAAAACTACTTTAATATTTGAAAACTAGTTCAAACGCTACGTTACCGAACACTATGAAAAATAACATTTGGGATTTTGACTAAAAATTACTTAAAAAACTATTGCCGAACATAGTCTTATTGTGTAGTACAAAATATTATTCTAGAGCAAGCCTCCCAATTAACAAAAAATACTTTGGATAAAAAAATTGTCCTGCTACTGCAACTAAGGCTGCATTCAATAACAAATTTTTAAATAGTTTTGTCAAAACGCTAAACGTTTAGGGTTTTAGTATTTTGACTGGTCAAAACATTAGAAACTACTGCAACTATTTTTTATAGTATTCGATAACATAGCGTTTGAACTAGTTTTTAGAGTTTTTAGATTTTAAGGTAGCGTTTTATAAAAAGTTAACTAATATTAAAGTTTAGCTTTTAGCATTTTAAGAAAATTTATTCAAACAGCTAACAGCTAAACACTACTGAGATAGCTAAAAGCTACCAAAATAGATAATGCCGGAAAGACTCTAAGCATGTGTTCGATAAATTGCTTTTAGCGTTTTGACTAAACTAATGTTATTTTTTATAGTGTTCCGTGACATAGTGTTTAAAGTAACTTTTAGAAGTTAAGGTAACGATTTATTAAAAGTTAATCCTTATAACGTCTAGCTTTTAGCATTTTATGAAAAGCTACCCAAACAACTATTAGCTACTGAAACAACTAATAGCGGGTCTGCTTGACAAAATTAATTATTTTGGTAACTGTTAGCTATTTTAATAGCTTTTAGTTGTTAGCTGTTAGTTGTTTGAGTAGGTTTTCATAAAAGCTAAAAGTTAATATTACATGAGTTAATTTTTCATCAAAACGTTACCTTAATTTCTGAAAACTAATTCAAACGCTATGTTACCGAACACTACAAAAAATAGCGTTTAGCATTTTGACCGATTAAAACGCTAAGAGTTAATTAAAAGATTGTGACCGAACACAACCAGCAACTAAAACAATTAATTTTACGAACAAATTCTAAGATATTCTTTGAACGAATCTCCTTTACTTTGTTTTTGTTGTAACTCAGCATCTTCTTGGAAGGAACCCCTCTTTCTTTGTATCTACCCGATGACAATAATGGAGCCAAGAGCTTGATCTCAAGCAAGACTGGATTTTATTGGAACAAAAAGGTAAAATGATGATTCATTACCCGTTATTGATTTAAGTTTTGAACGATGGCAAAATAAGGGTTGAAATGTCATTTTAGAAATCATATTTGTTTAGATCTTTAATCTCAAGCTCTTGAAATTTGCTTCTACTAGAATGAATAACGCTTAAATAATTTCAAATAATTTTGTAATTACTAGACCATATAGAAATAATCCGAGGATCTCAAATCGGTTGTGGAAAATGCATGAATTATATTCATTAACATTCACCTACAAGTCACGGTTTGTTTTCAGAAAATAGTTTACCTTTGATAAATATTTTTCAAAGAAAATATTCTTTTCTTAATATTTTTTTATATAATTTATTTTTCGTCGTTTGGTTGCAATATTAAAAATCAGTTAAAAGTTCTTAAAATTTTTAACCCATAAAACCAAAAAAATATTATTAATAATAGAAATTTTCGTATTTGAAAAATTTTATTGTTAATTACAAAAAACATGCAAAAAATGAATTACTATAAAAGTCGCCAGTAACTAGTAATGGAGGCCGACGGTAAACGGTGGATGAATAATGATCGATGGTTACTAATGATCAATAAATAAAAAATATGTATTTAAAATATTTTCTTGAAAATGTCTTTCTAGAAAACGGAAAGTTATTTTCTTTAAAAATAACTTGATTTTCCTTTCATATCTCCATTAACTTATTTTCCTAAACACCCCAATAAATGAAAAATTAGGTTTTGGTGAAAGATATTTGGTCCTAGTTATTAATATATATAAGAGAGCTTACATTTAAATTAGAGGTAAAACCCACTTTTCAACTTGTTCTAAGAAGAAAAAAATTTAATATAGAAGTTAAAATAGTGAAACTTAAAAGGATTATAATTGAAGGACCTTATAGTAAATTCACCTCTATAAATAACCAAAACATAAATGAAACAAATTCCAAATAAAATCCTCAAGGAAACTTTTTACTTTTCTTGGAATTTTTGCATGATTTAGCAATTTTACATTCACGAATTTAGTCTCATCAAAGTAAACACGAAATTCCTAAGTCCTAACACATGAATTTATTTATGTACAAACCATTGCATGAGAATGGTATCTGAAAACAAATATTCAATAATGTACAGTGTAATCAAAGGCTTCAATAACAGATGTCAGATCTTAATCTGAAGTTGAACAGCTGAAAATGAAATTTTGAATGGTATAGTAAAACTATAGTTCCACCACCTTCACCTTACCATGCTCAGTCCAGCCTAAACACAACTGCCATGTCATTATTTCACAAAGTTAGAGAAATGGAGATACTGTACAAAGACCAGATTTATTTGTTTCTGGATTATGTATTAGTACATACATCAGCCCGAAAAGTCACAAGAATCACTTCCGGCCCAACCTCAACAAATGCTGTTGATGTTTTGCTGCAGCGGCCTTGTCTGCGGCTTCACGCTTGAGTGTTCGCTTTGCACGCCGACCTGTCCGATCTTTCGCAGCCTCTTTCTGCTTAGGTTCACGTGATGGACCAGCACCCGAGTCCTGGGGATTTGGTCGATGAACCGGCCTTGCTTCTTGACGCCCCGCCCTAACGTACCCATTGTCTCCCCACCGTCGATTACCAATCCGAAGGTTTGAGGAGCGGCTTAAGTAAACTTCATCCAGATCATCCTCATCCTCATCCTCATACTCATATGGATAATAATAATACTCTAAATCATCATAGACATTGTGATGCTCCTCTACAATCAAAGGTTTAAACCATGGAGCTCTAAGAAGAAGGCACACACTTTCCTCAAACATGTAATCCTGGATGCTGTTGAAGGAATAAATATTTCGAAGAGGGGCAGTTAAAATATGAGATTGCACAAATGTAAATAATAAGGATCATATGTGATAAAAAGACTTCTTTAATATGCTTCTATTTATGTAGAATTTACTGATTGATCCAATCTCCCCAAATAAAATGTGTCTGAGATAATGAATTTGAATTGGTACCTGCCATCAAGTGAACGATGAACATTAAGAAATTCAAATGGATGTTTGCACTGAGGGCAGGTTGGTTTCTGACTGTATGTGGCCCATCGAAGGATACATGTCACACTGCAAAAACAAAGAGAGGAGGTCTATGAATATGCCAGGATGCCGTTGCATTGAAATATATAAATTATAAAAAAAATTTTCACACAACTAATTCAAGAAGCAATAATTGATTGTTAATTACAAGGAGTGTATTGTGCACCAAACCAGATAGTCAGATAGCCAAAAGACATTTAGGGTACTGCCTCATTCAAAAATACATAAAGAAACATATCAGTTTCTGCTCGGCCACGTAACTTATGCACCTTAAATTGCGGCTACAAACTCAACAAGAGTAAGATATTCACCATAACTCCATACATGACCATTACTACTATTATTATTATTATTATTATTATTATACTGCTTCCACATTCCAAAATAGCACAAAAATCACAGAATGTAGCACACAACTAAACTCCAAAAGCAAACTGCCCAATATGATATATAAAAATTTGAAGAACGGAAAGAAATATGTCATCATGATTGGACAAAATAGTACAATTGGTAACTAGACACATTTGTCAGCAGCAATACAGAGATAAAGTCCAAGGCAGAATTATGATTGCAGAATTGTCCCCCATAATAAATGATGCATGACAGAACTAAATTTCACTATTTCCAGGCGATTCTTCAATCAATTTAGTTGGATTACAGATCTGATTTCAAGAAAAATTTACGACTGAATTAAAACCAAAAAAGAAGGCTAAAAGTTTATGAATTACAAACATACTTTAAATTGGGCTTAAATTAGGCCCATGAATAGCAACTTCGGAACACGACATATATTTGGACTTTGTGGATTCAAGGATAATCAGATTATGTTTCTTAAGAGTTTTGTCAAGCTGGTTGACTAGTAATATTGACAAGAGAAGTAAAGACAACTCAAGCGAATTTTTTTTTTTTTAATTAAAAAAAAAAAAAAATAAGCCTTTACAATCTCATATGGAAGACAAGAACTTAGTAGTGCCCACTAGAAGATGCTGCAAACTTGCAAAAAAATTCCATTTCAAATTAATATGTTATATCACTTTGCATGCACAAGACTTGTTTACGTAATCAGAAACCTACATCAAATCAGAGAAGAAAAATTCCCACCAAATGAGGAAAACTTTTCAAACTCAAGGAAACAACACTTTCTAATGGACAAAGATAACAATTGTACTGACTAGACATCTAATCACCACACTGATTACTGCTAAACAAGAGACCCAAATTTGAGCATTACAAGATATATTCTTGAATATGCATTTTCTTTTTGATTTAATCACTTCATATAGGCTCAGCTGAACCAAAAAAAAAAAAAAAAAAAAATATTGACAATAGAAGTAAGTTACAACGTCAAGTGTGCGTATTTTTTTTTCTCTTAATTAAATAAATAATAATCAAGAATAAGGCCTTTACTCTCCAATCGTTTCATGTTGAATGAGCAAGACTTAGTAGTGCCACTAGATATAGATGCTGGCAAACTGCAATAATAATTCTCATTTCAAATTAATATGTGTATATCCTTTGCTATAGGATAGCACAAGACTTGTTTACGTAATCAGATTTACACATACATTCTAATTAGTGCTATAAGAAAAAATTCCCATCCAAAATGATGAAAACTTTTGCAAACCTCAAGAAATTACAATCACTTGTCTTAGTGGAGCAAAGGAGTATTACAATTGTTACTGACTAAGTAACGATCTAGAATCACGCGAATCCTATGATTACTGCTTTATTAATAACAAATACCTTCAAGATTTGTAGTCATTACAAGATGTATTATTCTCTTGATATGCATTTTCTTTTGATTTAATCTATCTTCAATATGTGCTCAGTCTGCATATACAATAAATATAAATATATAATAAAAAAAAGAATAGAAGAAGTAGAAATAATGTGATAAGAGAATCTCTGGTGGTTGCGTTATGATGCGCGTCATGAGAATTTTCGATGAACCATCTACTTAACATTTTAAGGATTGTCCTAATTATCAGTTTCTAAGAATTAGTATGCTTAATCTGCAGTCTCCTAATTACCTATTTGGTTCACATCAGGGCTGCTTGCTTTGTTTCTTGATAACTTTCTCACTTCTCAAACTGACTTGACTTGATCCAGAAACATGTGATCATTGCTGTTACTCCGTGAAGCTTTTTTAGGTATTCATGCTGTCCATAGAGGGGCCTGATAGGTACAGCGGGCTTCAATAGGTTATGATCACTCATTATATATGTAAAGGATCTCTAAGAGAAACGTCCCTGCGATAGGAAATTTATAATATCTATTGTGGTCTCATAGACGAGAGCAGAGGCAGAGAGTCCGTGCTTCTGGTTTAATGTATACTATAATCCAGAACACATGGGTACTTACTCTCATGGTTTAAAAAAAGCTCAGCGTGCAATGGGGTCTATTCTCTCTAATAACTTATCAGTATTGAGAATTATGTTTGAAAATAAGAAAGAAAAAAAAAAAAAAAAAAAAAGAATAGAAGAAGAAAAAGAAGAAGAAACTCATTGTGTTCGTTATTATTCCTCTAGAATTTTTCAGAACCAACTTATACATTTAAGGATTGCCAAAAATAACAGTCTAAGAATTTAGAGCTAAACCTTGCAGCTCATAATTAACCTATAATGCTCACAAGGGCTTGCTCTTTTTGTTCATATGAACTTTTCTCATTCCTCAAACTGACTTGACTTGATCCAGAACATAGTGACATCTGTACTCCACTTTTTATAGTTCATGCTCCTAGAGACCATAGACTACCTTCAAAGGGAAGTATGTCAACAATTATGAAAATCTCTAAGAAGTACAACTCCCTTTCAAAAATTAAACATTTTTTCCATAGGGACAACAGGGCAAGTCCTCGGTTTAAGTTTACATAATCCAGAACACATTGGTACTTTACTCCATGTTTAAAAAAGCTCAAGCTCATGGGGTCCACCAACTAACTTCAGATGGAAATTATGTTAAAATTAAGAAAGTGTGAAGCACTGACCACCCCCTTAAAGAGTAAAACACACTTTACAGCATCTATACAGTCAAAGCCTCAGTAACTTTAATGGGGCTGGCAGTACCTGAAAAGCATATTTATGTCCAACATCTGCCTAATGAATGAATAATATTTATACCATTCTTTTGCCTTAAACTTGCATAAAAAGTGCAGAGAGTAAATTACAGCAGACGAAAGTCACACATAGGATAATTTATTTATCCATATCCAGAGGCTCTTTGTATGGAATAGCACTTAAAATCAAAAGAAGCAAGACTAAGGAATATGCACATTCTTCCAAGGCCCTAGTCATCAGGATCAAGCCACAAGTAGGACAGATCCTACTGAGGCCATAAAAGCTCTAACCTATAATTCTTATCCAATTATGTGAATGAAAAAAGCATTTCCTTTCTTCTTTCTACAACATACTATGGAAATTGAAAATAAAATGTATGTGTATGATGCAATTCATAGATAAGAAACTCTAATCCATGAATCCAGAAAATCTACACTTCACTTCAGAGTGTTAACTTGCTTCTTCAAGGAGGGAAAAAGGCCCCACAGGTTGATTGTCTGACTCAATGCAAAACTAATAAAAAGGATAGTACTATAGTTGCAAAAGATTAGGCTCAAACCAAAGAAAAAATGCAAATATATTTAAAGATAGGCAATCAGGCAAATTCATGCTGTCAATGTAAATGTCGTGTTATTTTATTTTATCAGTTTCTAGAAAAGAATGCATTATGACCAACAAGTGTTTTACGCTGAGTTGACACTCCTGATAGAGACTATCGATTAGAAGAGAATAGTGAATAGCTCATAGTGCATATTCATTAGACATGCAAAATTCATTCACCTTCCCCTGTAAAATATAAGACCAATTGCACGCACAGTCAGAGAAAGCCCCAAACAAGCACATGGGAGGCGGACAGCAAGCAAGAAGAACTAAGGTTTATCATGCAAGAAAATAAGTTAGGAATAAGCCGCATATATGCACATAGTTTAATTCATAATTTAAAAACACTGTACATGACACAGATTATAGCACATACAAAAATAGGTGATGTTAGCATCAAAAGGAAGCTTATCTGCAAAACAATGCCAAGAAACTAAAGTTTATTTATAACAGACTCACACAAGATTATCAACAACATACCTCTTGTATTAAATTCCAGCAACCTGCTCACAATATATAAACCATGGTCTCAAAAGGCGACAGGAAAGCAATGAAGTTTTGAAGTTTTTAATTTACTCCTCAAAAGTGAGGCGCAGTCTATGCCTCATAGCATACATGCAAGTTATCTCAATTTCTCAAAAAAGAAAAAAAAAACAAATAAAAGTAACAAAATTAGCCAACAAGTCAAAATAAGAAAATAAGAAGAAAAACTAGCAGGTGCATAAAAGTAAAGTATGAAATGAGAGCATCGCATCCTTACAGACTGTTGGCTAAACAATTCGTCAAGAAATGTGTCCTACAGACACTCAGATTGATTCATCCTCAGATAACATCAAAACCTATCCCCCCAACCCAAAAGTAAAATAAAAATAACGATGATCAGTCAGAAAGGGAAATGGAGCATTGAGTTCAGATAAATTATGACGAAACTGTTACTTCCATCAAACTAGTTACAAGGCAAACAGGTAATCATAAACTTCCAAACAAGAAGACTATAGCTCAAATACTTGTAAAGAGACCACTTGATAGAAAATTACTATAGGAGGCAAAATATCTCAAATCTATGGCAAATACAGGCCCAAAAAAATCAAAGTCCTAAGTTCCTATGTTCCTTTAGCAAATTTCATTGAGAATGAGATTTCCAAACTTTGTTTTCTAAACAACTAACTATTGCTCATAGCCCACAAAGGAATTCCGTACAAGTAAAATCATGCACAGAGATTCAAAGTACCTTAGAAATTTAGAAATTGAAACCCATAATCAACCTATTCATTTACCACAAATTAGAAACCACATTTAGTAAAATAGGGGAACTCATGTTTGTTATGTTTGAATCACTAAGAGCTTCTTCTTTAGATAAATGAACTTCATTATATTTTGAGGAAATCATTTTCAAATCAAACCATGAATGAAAGTTAGTTTGAACTTCAAATTTTTTATTCAATGAAATTGGTCAAACTGGAGTCAAATTCTATTAAAAGTTGATAGAATTGCGCAGCTAAATTTAACAAGAGTACAAACTAATAAAGTTAATGAATTATAATTACAAGCTAGGAGGGCTAATCAAACTGTATCCTACATTTAATCCAAACATAAAAATTCCTTTTTTTATACATAATACAACTCATTTGCAAATGAAGTGAATTCCATGTTCATTTATTCCAAAAACTGTATAGTGAATAAAAAGAATTATACAACTAAGTTCCAAGAGAGACATCCCCACAAGAGTAAACAGAAGAGTGATTCCTTGTACTAACCAGTAAGCATGTTCGCAACCTCTCACAAGAGCAGTCTCCTGAAGCACTATCTTATCCAAGCATATGGCGCAAACTCCACCATGATTTCCACAAGACTTTTCATTATTAGCCTCCACCTTAGACTGCGCTTCCACCTGAAATCAAAATTACCATATCGATCAATTCACCAACAAAACCACACTCATTTAATTTATTTTATTATAAATAAGAAAGAAAGACCCAATTTAGAATTGTTTCAGTTATGAAGTCTCATGGTCCATAAAATCAACCAAAATTCAATTACTTCAGAATCCCATTTCCATACTGATTGCATAGCTGAAAAAGTCGTTGTATCACCAAAATTTAATTGCGTTAATTTCAATTTAAAATACTCCACCCTTTAGCTTTAAAATGAATTATATAAGGAAAAACAAAACAAAACAAGAATATCATCACTTCATCTTCTCCCTGATTTCTCAGCAATCAAACACATGGAAATCAAAATATCAAAATAAACAAACAAACAAAAACAATCATATCAAGTAGATCTTGTCCAAAAGTCATAATTCCTACATACCCACCTTAAAGAAAACAAACCTTTTTCAAAGAAATGAAAAAAACCCAGAAAAAGAAATCATAATTACCTGATCTTGAATGGAGAAATGGGCAAGAGTATTGGTTAATTGGTGAGCTTCAACGTTGATGAGCGAAGTCATGGTAATATAGCAGTTAACAATAAAAATCAAAAGGGTTTGTTGTTGTTGTTGTTGTTGTTGTTGTTGTTGTCGTCGTCTCTGCTAATCTAAATCTAAACCTAAAATCTGTACAAAGCTAAAAGAAAAATTTAGGGAGAAAGAGAAAGATGCTAAAGAATGATTCTATTGAGATTGAGATTCCATAGAACTGGGGAAAATAGAGAGGGGAAGGTACCCTCTTAGTTAGGGATGGAAAAGACCCAAATAAAGAGGGAAGGATTGTGGATGATATCAAACGCTACAGTTCTACTCAAAAATGAAATAAAATAAAATAGTTTCCTTTCCAGTTCCAGGTCTTTGCGGCAGCTTCCCCCAAGTTGGAATATTCCATCCCCAGTACGTACCTCCTTTTTTTTCTATTATCTTTTTTTTCCTTAATTTTCAACTGCCCCTCTTTCTTTTATTATATTGATTTTTCATTTGATTTTTTATATATTTTCCCAAAATAATATTTTTTTTAATTAATAGTATAATAATAATCGTATTGGTTGATTTTTATAAATGTAATTTAATTTATATATCTAATTTTTTATTGACTTTTATAAAACATAATAATATGAATAATTTATATTATTATAAAAATTTAAAAGTGTTAATAAAATAAAAAAACATTTCATGAAATTACAAAAAAAATTCAATAATTAAATAACTTGTTAAAGGAAAAACATATTTTTTATAATTTGATAGCCAAATTTTATATGAATTTTCTATAACAATTTAAATTTGATTAACTTAATTTTTTCGTATATAATAGCAGTCTGAAATAAATAAAAAAATTATTATTAGTTATTATAATAACTAGCCATTAACCGCTCGCGAAATATTTAGATATTGTTTGAGTACTATTATTTTTAAAAATTATTTAATTTACAATAAATAAATTTCAAAAAAATAATTAATTCCTAAACTCTCACATTATACACGAATAATTATAGAAATTATAATATAATTTATCCTAAATTTTTTTTGAAAAGATAAGTATAAAAAAATGAATGATAGATACGGAGAACAATTATAAGTAAATCTTAATTTTTAATTTTACATAGAATACTTAAAAAATTAAAACTTAAGATAGATATAAATGTAGATAATATTTCAATAATTTTTTTAAATGGTTTAATAATTTTAAAAAAAAATTATTAGATATAATTTGTTTATCGATAATAAAATTAAATTTTAAATGATAAGATCAATATTTTAAATATAAGTGATTAAGATATTTAAATTTTTTAACATATTAAATGTTATTTTTTATTTAAATAAAATAAAAAAATACTAAAATTTTTCACAAATAATAAACTTTTACATGATCGATTCCATCTATAGGAATTACTGGTTAATGGAGAGGAAAGAGTTGGATTTTATAAGACAAATAGTCATCTAAGTTGAAATATTCACATGAAATACAAACTAAAGGAACCTGAAAAAAAAAAAAAAAAAAAAAAAAAAAAAAAAAAATTGAATGAAGATGTGTTATATATCTGTTTATCTATATTGGTTTTGGTAATATAGAATATAGTTATATAAAATAGTATATATATATAATGATATCGATGAGAACCAATGTAAAGTAATCTTAATTTTAATTTTATATCATAGAATACTCTATAATAATAAGTTAGAGACTAATTGATAATATAATGTAGATAGTGATTTCTATTATGATGTAATATTGTGTTTTATATAGATTAAAAAAATTATTATGATGAGTAGTTGTTTTATCGTATTATATAAAAATGTTAGAATGATAAGGTCCAATTAAATATAAGTGATAAGATTAGTTTAAATTTTGAATTATAATAAATGAATTTTTTATATTATATATAAATATAAATAATAATAATATAATAAATTCACAAACTAATTAAACTGTTTTACATGAATTCGATTTCTCTATCTATGGAATTACTGGTATGTGATAGAGGAAAGAGTGGATCTTATATAATGACAAATAGTCATCTAAGTTGTAAATGATCACATTGATAAATATAAACTAAAGGTATACCTGAAAAAAAAAAAAAAAAAAAAAAAAAAATAAAAAGATGATGGTTCTACATAATAATGATTTCAATAAATTAATAATCTCCTTACTGATTGTTCTCCTGGCATTTGCATCATTTTGATTTTTTTATCTGCAATCAAACAAAAAAAAAAAAAAAAAAAAAAAAAAAAAAAAAAGATGATGTTTCTACCATAATAATGATTTCAATAAATTAAAACCTTACTGATGTTTCTTCCTTGGCATTTGATCATTTGATTTTTTTTTATCTGAATCAAACAGGCTCTAAAAGCCAATCAAATACACAAAGACCCACTCAATGACTAGTTTGTATCCTCTGCAGTTTTTGCTGCTTTGTGCAATAACAAAACCTGTTGCCTTGCAATGGATACGACAATGCTCAAAAAGCATGGAGCTATTCCCAAAAATGAAGTCCACACTTCCTTCCATGAAGCAATCGCTTAGATATTGCTTACATATTTATTTATTTATTTATTTTGAAAATTGAATGTTATTTCCGCAAAAGAGAAATATTATCATTTTGACATAAGTTAGGAGAAAGGTAGAAAACATGTGGAAAAATAATACATTTTAAAAAAATTAAATTAGAGTTTCTTACTAACAGTAACATTTCTGTTTCAAGCGGTAGAGGAATGAAACTTCCTCCATGACCGTGTCCTGGTTTTTTGACGGCAGTCTAATACAAGCGAAAGACAAATTACTCGTTTGTCCGATGGTACACGTAACATTATTTTGATACTCTTCTGCCACGTTGCACTTTGTACATGCTAACTCATCTTTTAATTAGCTACGTGCAAGTTGCATCCAAGTCTCAAATCTATCACATAACCATGTATTAAGGGAAAATAATTATTTCGTCCTGTAGTTGATTATAATTTTCTAAATAGTCTTAATTTATATATAAATATTTATAATATGTTTAATATTTACATCCTTCATATTAGTTGTCCTTCCATATGAAAAATACAAAATTAACCTTCATAATTTTTTTGTTGTTATTGGTTGTCAATCTTTCTCCTTTGAAATACCTAAAACTCAAACTTCTAGCATTTTCCTGAGCTCAACACCGTCTTCATTGCCATGAACCATCACCGTGTCTCTATCAACCATTATCTCCATAACTAAATCATCAGCTGAAGCTAAATATCGACTTCGAAACCCAATCAAGCCATCATCAACCTTCATCTATATCTCTCTCTCGATCTCTCCTTCATTCTTTGATCACCTCTTCTCTTAAAATCCCTAAAATAAAACCTTTACTCATTTGTCATCGATTTATTTTGCAGCCACCACACTTTTGATAACTTCTCATCCAAACACCACACTCTATAAGTTTTTGGCATTTCTTTTTGCTTGTGGATAATGGAAGTAAGCTTCTACATGAAACCTAGTTTTTGGATTTTAATATATTTGCTAAGATACTTTCCCTAACAAAAAGTCAAATAATAACGGTATCCAATTGTCTTCATTATATTCCGTAGTATAGTAATTTAATATGATCGTTGGCCTGTCTGTGCAAAATGATTAGGACTGAAGTATCTTATGCAAAATGATGAAATCAATACAGTAAATAAAACAAAAAGGAGACAAAAAATTCTTAACAGAGGAAAGGAAATAGATTGATAATTGGAGAAAGATTGACTTTATTGAAAGCATACACTGATTATAGTAGATACGAAGAAATTTATACTAGAGAATAAAACAAAGAAATCCCTATAAAATCTCATGTGAAATCCTATCTGATTAAGAGTAGAAAAACTCTTTTATTGTCCCAATAAAATAGGAACACAGGTTGACCAAATAACAACCAAATAATTGACTGCAGATTGATAGTAGAATGCACTAATTGGTAACACTCCCCCATAGTGCATACTCAGTGTCAATAACTCCAAGAGCAGCTCTAAAATCTTCAAATTTATGCTTAGTTAAAGCCTTTGTAAAAATCTCTGCACCTTGACAGCTGGTATGAACTCCTTCAGCTCTATTTCTTAATTCAAGACTTCCTCCTAAACAAAATGATGACGAACTTCAATGTGTTTTCTTTGCCCATGAAAGACTGAGTTTGAAGCAAATTTAATAGCAGTCCCATTCTCACATTGAACTTGTACAACATAGTCAACCTTCCCAAAAATATATTTCATTAAACTTTTCAGCCAAATACATTCTTGAACGGCCATTGTTGCCACCATATACTCAGCTTCTGCGCTTGACAAAGCAACTGTTGTCTGCTTCTTTCTACACCATGAAACAGCAGTAGAGCCGAAACTAAAGCAATAACTTGAAGTTGAGCGTCGGTCATCTATATTTCCTACCCAATCCGCATTAGTAAATCCTTTGAATAGAAATTCATCCTCTTTCTTGTACATAGGGCCATAATTAGTAGAACCCTTTATATAGTGTAGGATCCTTTTGGCAGCATCCAAGTGAGGAGTTCTTGGATTTTACATAAATTGAGAAATGACACTAACAGAGTATGCAATCTCTGCTCTTGTGATTGTTAAGTAGATTAGGCTACCAACAAGTTGTTGAAATGTTCTAACATCTTTTAATAACTTGCCTTCTTCTTTCTTCAGCTTAAGATTTATTTCCATAGGAGTTGTCGTTTCTTTTGACCCCCCATGCCAAAATGCTGCAAAAGATTCTCTGTATATCTTCTCTCAGATATAAAGTACCCTTGTTCTATTTTCATCACTTCTAGGCCAAGGAAACATCCAATCTCACCTAATTTTTCATTTCAAATTGGATTGACAAATCATTTCTCAATTGAGAAATTTTAGCTTCATCACTTCCAGTAATTATCATGTCATCCACATACAACAAGACTAGTGATAGCCTCGCAAAGCGGGCAAATTTTGTTATGTTATTTTCATATAAATTGCATGATTGCATGTTGTTTTTATACATTTTACGTTTACCCTTGTTGTTTTTGTTTTAAAATGATTGTAAGAATACAATTTGAGCAAAGGGATGAAAAGGCTTGCTCTTATAGAAAAAGATGATTGAAGGAATGCAATTTGAGCAAAGGAATGAAAAGGCTTGCTTTTTATAGAAAAAGAGGACCAAAAAGTTGACTAAACATGGAGAATTCGCCTAACAGACTTCGCGATGCCAATATAGTGGCATTGGAAAAGAAGAAAGGATACAGTCGCGAGCGCAACCTATACACACCAGAGGACTCAGCAGGCACCAAAATGCAAGTCGCGAGCGCGACATTAATATGCGCGCACTCCAGCAAGTCAAAGAGTTTACAAACAAAGATCGCGAGCGCGACATTAATATGCGCGAGCACGAGAAGCACTTTAAAGAGGCAAAGAGTTTTAAAGCATAAG